TGGACACATGAAACTGCAATTTAGGAGGAAAACTTCCACCTTTACATCATTACATTATGTACTTACATATTTCCGTTTTCCCCAGATATTATTCTGACTTCTTCAGCTCCCATGCAGCCTCTGTCTACATGACCTACATGCTTTTTCCAGAGAAATTCAACTTTTGAAATGTTCCCAGAAATTTCTGTATCAATGTAGTTCAAGTATGTGTTGCCTGATTTGAAAGTTCCCCTGCCAAAAGAAAAGCACAGAAGTGATGCTCAGTGTTCTACACAATGAGGGGGAAAAGAAAACTTGACTATAGGCAGGAAGACAGATGATCTGGGGGGGTTCCATGAGAGTTGGGGCTTTGAATACTACTGCTAGAATTTTATGAACTTTTAAATAGATTTGCTGAAATCCCTGTGCATTTCAGGATGAAACACATATCAGTTAGTTAGTACAGCCTTTGAAAGTATTGTTGCAATTTATTCTATACATTACTTTGAAAAATAAGATCTATCTTCAAATAAATCCAAGTCAAAAAGTTCTCTCAGTGTTTCTGGTAGCTCTCAACCATGAAGGAAATTGAAAATTATAGTTTACATTTGTGCCTTCTATGCTATCACTGTTCACTCTAACAGAACACACATTGTAATGTGACATTAGCATTGAAATTATCTGTGGGTTTATTGCTGCAGTGGTGTATTTATAACCAAAGGTGCTCCTGGTACTAACTGGTAATGGGGCTCTATTCAAACACAGAGGAGGTTGGTTTTGTAATATTGAAGCTGGGTTGCTGACCAGCATCTGTTTATTGAGATTTAAATTCACATTTACTGGAAAAGGCCAGGCTGAGTGGGCAGGAATCCCATATTCCAGCACAGTTCATGGGCAAGCTGCAACTTTCTTATTCACATATTCCCCAGAAGAGGGGATAATTAAATGAGTGTACATCACTGAGCTCTTTGTCTTCTCAGAGATCACCAAATCAGCAGCAGCCACAGAGCTTTTGCCCACTTTGCAATGCTAACATCAACCTCAGAAAACAAAAGAAAATACAGAGCAAGAGGGACCAGCAAACAGATTTTTAACACAGCCTGCAGCACAGAGAACTTCAATCACTTATCAGCGACTTTTATTACCAGAGTAAATCACAGCCCACACAGAAAAAGCATGTAAAAATAGCAGTGTGTACATTCCATGTGATAACAGTGATAGAGCCACGTTTTCAACAGCCACATTAAAAACTTACTTGTCAATGGTATATTTTTTCCTGAACCCATTAGTTCCAGTCAAGGCTACATCTATATTTCCCTTCATGGTTTCTGTTGCACATACTTTGACATGTACTTCTTTTCGCCAGCCTTGGAAAGCAAAATCAAATGGATTACAGTTGTAAGGAGATTTCTTTCCTAAGGGTTAAATTTCTTATATGTTTCAGTGTGTCTAAGAGAGAGAAAAGGATTGCACAAATGTGCTTATAAGCAAATAAAACTTGTGATAAATTCGAGTTCATTCATTATTTTTCCTGTTTCCCAGTCCTGTGGCTGTTTCTATATTAATCATAACTAAAGCTGTATTTCTTATTGCTCCCTGCCATTTTAACTTGATGAGCTTGGAAAAAATATGAAATGCACCACTTTTATAAACTTTTGCCAATAAAAACAATGCAACATTTTAAAATTTGAAATTATGCACTTCCAGCATAAAATTCTTCCCAATTTCAGTTTTATAGAATTTTTGAAATCACCATGTAATAACCAAGTTTAACCCAAAGGTGAGCATCATTTGATCTCTTTCTACAATTACCTCAGCTTCCCCAAATAATGCTGCTACTGCATGGTCCTAACACCTAAAATTATAGCTGTTTTATTGAGTGCAACTCAACTGCAGCAGCTCTGCAGAAGTGTAAGGTCCTTTTTCACACATAATTCATTGCCACTTTAGAATACACCACAAAATGAACACTTACGAGCATATGGAGGGGAGGGCCCTGTGTTTAAATAAACCTTTTGCTGTTCTTTTTCAGTTTTATGTAAAAACTTATCAGCATAATGACCCATCAGTGGGCATCCTTCCTCTGGACATGGAAAGCAGTCTCCCTGGGGGGAAAATAAAAATGTGTGTTTTAATCTCACTTCTTAAATTTTAGGAAATTAGGGTATTTTATAGGCATTTTATTAGGTTTTTTTGGTTAGTTGGTTGGTTGGTAGGTTATTTTTAGGTTTTTGCTTCTCAGTTCAGATCATGTCTTCAGTATTTGTCATTCTGGTTGTAAAAAAAGAAGTTGAGGTGGTCAGTCAGCTTATTTCATCTTGTTGAAAATCAGAGAGAAATGGGTTGGAAATCCAGCCTAATTCCTTGTGGTCTTGCAGAGACCCACCATAAAGAATGTTGTACGTTGCTACCTGATCTAAAATCTAGGTAATATATTCACCTTTCATAGGATCCACTGGAATCTGCTGGTTATAGGATGGATAACCACATTTCCAAGGGGTTCTGTCTGGATATCTCACTCATATGGTAAAAATATTTATGTTTAGGAATACTAAAGGTTGGGCTTTAGATATGGGATATGTTCTGTCAGCTCTTTATTCCCATGCAGAGCCTTAATTAATTCAATCTTCCTACATCGATCAGACAATCAGATCAAAACCTTGGCTTCCATTAAAAAAGGTAAAAAAAGATAAGCATGAAAGCAGATTAACTCCAGTCAGAAAAAAATAGCATTGCTATATTTAGGTAGTTCAGTTTTGATATGTGGGAGGTTCTGTTCAAACTGGTATTTGTGGACCTTTGGCTATTTGTGCATTTGATGAAAAAAAAGGTAAATTATCATTATCACTTCTCTATTGTGAAATTGTTTGGGTTTGGGTATGGTCTGCATGAAAGTAGTCAGTGTTTCTGAATGTCCCCTGTGCCCATATCCCATGGTCACAAGTGTAGAGGTTGTCCCAGAAATTATTAAAAGAAGAAGGGCAGGTCTACAGGTCCTCAGATAAATCCAGACCTGGTACTTACCAGCACAAACTCTTGGTATGTGTCACACTGATACCCAGCAAATCCATTTGGAGTGACGATGCTCTCAGCATAATACCTGAGACTTCTTTTGTGTCCACATCCAAAAGATCTGTATGCTGGGGAAAAAAAAAAAACAGCAAAACACCTAACAGGTAAAAAGTGGTCAAAACAATGCATTAACATAAAGTCCATGCCAAAGAAACATTTTGGGGTCTCTTTTCCTCAAAAGCACTTGCATTTATAGTGATGTCTCAGCTGAAAGAAATAGGAATGATTAGAAGAAATTTAAAGTGTGAATTACTTGGCTTTGTAGTAAGATAGTGAACTTACGCCTACATATTTTTTATGTTGGAAAGAGGTAGTTTTTAACATAGGTGGAGATACACCAAGGTGAAACAAGAAGCGTTTGGGAGTATTCCCCTTTGATATTTCAAAGACTGGAATATTTCACAGCTACAGTTTTTGTAAAGCATAGTGTAGTTACAATGAAGTAGTTTTCCTTTTCTTACCGTTTTCACAACATGGTATTCTGTAAAATCACAGTTTCCACTAATTTCTAGAATTAAACGTAATTTTAGCAATTATTTTAAATTCAGTGGCTCTTGGTGTTTTTAAGCACTAGAAAATCTGCAGTCATTTGATAGCAATTCTGTGAAATCCTCTGAAAAGCAGGATAATTGGCAGTGTGCCCTTGATTTTGTCAGAACTCTTTGAAACAAGTACTTTTCCCCACCAGACTGAAATTTATAAGCAGCCAGTAAGGAAAGAAGGAAGTGTCATTTGGGTTATATTTACACGTCCCTTACAGCAAATGTTGTCTTCCTTGATTCCAATGTCTCTCCTATATCAAAACACAATATACTAAAGTTAGGTTGCTTTTATAAAAATGGGCTCTGTTCTGCTTTAGTGCATGGTGGGGGAAGTCTGGGAGGCACTGAAGCAGTTGCAAGCTCGCACAGTTTGTAGTGAAATCAAAATTTCCCCAAATGGCAATATTTATGCATCTTGAAGATAGACCAGTTGGTGTTGACCAGTTGATATATTGTTTTTTTCCCACACGAAAATCTCTCTGAAAAGTACTTGTTGTCTGTTTTTCTTGAAAATAATCTGCATCATCAAGGCTTCCTGAGTATGTTGTCTTTGTAGCTCCTTCTTTAATTCAAAAGGGTTTGTGCTTTTAAACCCTCAGCTCTTAGAGCTGGCTCAATTTATGTTAGTGGCAAATTCACTTAACACCTATAGTCTTTCTACTGCATCAAAAACTCTAGGGAAAAAGTCACTAAATATTATTTCTAAAGCACTTTGTACATAAAAACACTTCATAAATGTAAACATTAGCACATGAAAGAGAGGTTACCAAACAAAGTAAGGTTTAAGCAAGAGGAGGGAGTTAAGGCTGTCTCTATTTTTAAGAGCTGCTTGAACAACCATCTCCATCTGCTCGTGTTCAATAGAGCTGAGTTTCTCCTCCATGACAAAACATTGCAAAGAGCCTTGTGAAATGTCTCTGGACATTAAATGCAGACATTTTTATGCATTCCAATTAGAAAGTGTTTTTGTTCCAAGTGACTTTGAGCACAGCCAGCTTTCAGTTCTCTTTGTTACTAAGTTCTCAGCCAGTTGTAAGAGAGAGCATTTTTGAAAGCAAATTATTTAACTAGTGGCAGGGATTTCAAAACATTTAGCTGTGAATAACAGATGTTCTCATTTCTGTAGGTTAGCATCAGAGGACAGGATTTTGTGGATCTATTGTACTGGATCCCAGGGTAATTCTGATTAACTGCCCAGCTTTCTTTGAAGAACTGCTAATGGAGCAGTCATTTTATCATCTTTTGTATTTCTAACCTTGGGCTGTTCCCTTTGAAGAGACTAAAGCTTGGTGGCATGGATGAATCCCAGTAATATTGGGTGTGATATCTTCCTAGGGAGAAGGAAAGCTCAGATTTTAAAATACTCATTTTTGGATTATCCATGAATGAAATTTTATCAAGTCCTTCATGGGAGGAATTCCCACTGAGCACAATGGCAGGGTCTTAGAAAGCTTGTGATGCACAATTTTTCATGCTTTAACTGAAGTTTTTCATCTAGAATTTGCCTTGGTTATTATAAAAGCAAATTGGTGGATATGTCAGAGGTAGCTTTAAATGTTCCATTATTGAGCATTTTCTCCTTATTCCAAATCTGAACTGTATAAAGGTCTTACCTTATCCTAGTCTTTGTCTCTAACTGTAACTTATAATGATGTATTACTTCTTTAAAATATATTTACCTCTCATCAGGTCATTGATATCCTGGGTTGCAGGAGGTACACGAAGCTGGTTGCATCCTGGCATCTTCCTCCCACCATTTGGGTAAAAATCCAGGTGGCCACAAGGCTGAAGAATCCCTGGAGCTGAAATGCACAAGAGATCCTGGCAGATCACTTTCAGGTGCTCTGTAGCCAGCTGTGTGCCAATGGCAGCCTTTAAATGAAAACTTACCAAAGTCAAAGAAAAGATGACCAGCATGAGTATGAATTATATCAACAAATGTTGCATCTGAAGGATCCAGCCTAACCATTGTGGGAGTGTACTGGAAAAGGGGCCCAGCTGGATCCAAACCTAAATGAATGGAGATGTATCTGATTGAGTAAATAATACTATATGTATATCATCACATACAGGTTGTGTATGCTAAATATGTGATTACATTTCTGCTTTTACTCCACATATAAAAATCAATTTTGTGGTCCACAGCTAGAGAAACAGGCAGGGTATTAACAGAAAGCTGACTGAAGGCATTGCAGCAGAGTAAAATGCTGATGGCTGCTTGGCTTACTTTTGGGAACAATGATATAAGAGGTTTGGTTTGTTGAGGGGTTTTTTATCATTTTACTGAAAAATATGAAATCTTCTTCTATGAAATATATTACTCTGAGCATGTAGATTTATTTATGATTTTTTATTTGCAGAATATCTTGGTATCCCATCACTTCAGTGTCAGTGAGGTCTCTTTGTAGATAAAGAAACAGAGCTCTGATCCCAGTTTCCCTGAATTTCTCACTGTGTGACTACTCACTGTGTGCATGGCTTAGACAAAGCAATGTCCATGCAGAGAAAAGAACTGACTGGGGGAGAAGGAAAGCAGAAAATAGTGATTTTTCAAAAGAAAACAATGTGTGACTGTGTCACGACTTGTGAGCCACCATGCTGGCTGGACACTGTTAATTATGACAAACCAGCACATTGCATTCTGTATTGTATGTTTATAAAGCAGCAGTGATTCTTCAGTTCTCTGAAGTTGTGTGAAAATACAAAGTTTTGTCAGCTGAAGTAGCTGCAGTACCTGTTATTCTTCCAATGCCAGGTTTCCTCCTCCCTGCCTCCCCTGCAACGTGTGCTCCAAGGCTATGGCCAATGAAATGGATGTTGGCAGGAGAGTAGCCATAATCTTTCTGTGAACGTTTATGGAAAGGAGAAAAAACCAGTGTGGGTATACAAGCCAGTGACACTGCAGCACGTTCCCATGCAGTGCCAGGACATGGCCAGATCATTGGGCAATGGAGATGAGTGTCCTGGTGTCTGGGTGATGGGATCTCTTCCTTAAGAGAAGCAATTCCTCAGTCATCCCACCTCTCTTAATTTTCAGGGTGTTCATGGCTATTTACCATCTTATCCCGATATGCTAATTCTAGGGGATTTAATTTTCATTTCAGATTTTCAAACCTTTTGAACTGCTGAAAAGCCACGTTAGTTTTTCAAAATCAATTATGACACTAAAGCAGGCATTTCCATTTGTGTGGGATTGGAGCTCTTTTATAACATTTGGACCCACTTTACTGGGTACTTCTTGCTCTTCCTAGCTCTGTTGAATCAAGCCTAAAGGTGCCACTCTGAGCACGACCTTTACCATGGGGGCTGTGCACATTCCAGGGGTATTTTTTACCTCGAGGAGGTTCACCAGGTACTCCAGCTCAGCCCCCACAATGCGGACGTTGTTGACGGCGTCCGTGTACAGACCACTGGACCCTCCACTCCAGTCTGTCAAAATGCAGTTCACATCCTCAGAGTGGAACATGAACTGGTGGAGAACAGCAAAACAACAGAGAAGAAGGAAGCAGGCACTAATTAAAATTGTAGCGGGGCATATGCAAACTGCATTTTGTTTTATTTGTGTGACCGGTGACACAAAGATGACACATCTTTAGTAATTCCTACTGATGCTGAAGATCAACACAAGGAGGCAGAGTGGAACCAGTGATTACAGGACACTCACAAGCTCCCTTCAGCTCTTTTTACCATTCTAGATGTCTTAGTTAGCTCTGTGGTACCAACTTCTCTTAATGACAGTACCCCTGTTCCCAAAATAGGTCCAAGATTTATTGTTCAAATTCTTTATGCTTGGATCATCTAAAAGGATTCTCAAATTTGTGCTTGAATTGTTCAGCCCTGAAGTTCATACATTATAACTAAAATATTCTATTTAGACACTTCTGCCAACAGAACTTTCTGATTTTGTGTTTTATTCTGAAACAATTTCATTTTTGAAACTTGCCAGAGTAGAATGAAATCAATCTGCTGAACAAAGCCTTTTGGTTTTATTAGATCAAATGTGTCACTCAAACTGACACGTTTATTGTGACCTTTTGCTGAGGTGAGAAAACTCACTCTTTTTCCCCCTTTATTATTGGCAAGGAATTGAAAAATCAATTTATTATAGCTTTCCCTGTGGAGGTGAACGCAGCAAAAGGGCATTCAGCAGAAGGCTGAAGTGTACTGTACTCATAGCCAGCAACAAGACAATGGTCATGTGGAACTGGGCTTCATTCTGACTTTTGTGTTCCTTATGTATCCCCTGAATTAACAAGAGAACAGAGGCGTGAATTCCACATGGGAATTTTAAGTCAGATGTGGACATTTAGCCTTTCAAATGCAAGCAAAATGACTGTCAAACAATAGCTGTACCTACCCTGCATAAGTTTGTTATCCAGGGGAGATCTGCTCCAGCAAGGTGCCCGTGTATAATGAAACGAGTTTTCCTGTGTGCTCGGAAATTCGAAGCTTTTATGGTTGAAGAATTTGTAGCTGAAATTTTCTGTGCCAAAAAACCCATGCAACCAACAAACACAACAAGGACATTACTGTTCCATCCCACTGTACATTTTGATAAAGGGCAGAGTACCCCAATGGTTAAGGCATAGTTCTAGACCCAGAAGAGATGGGTCTTATTTCTCATTCCTAAACTGCCTTTTGAGGGGAAATCAATTAATCACTTCAACAAATGCTTCACTTTCTCTGGTTAATTGAATTAATGATACTGGCATCTTTTGCACAATGCCTTGTGATGTACTGGTACAACATGCCAGGTAAGTACAAGATTTTATCAAACTTGGCCATAGCAATGCAAAGATAGCATCTTCTGAAAGGTATTATTTGGTCGACTTTGAAACTATACTTATTTTTCTTTCTTTTTCCTTTGAAGATCAGACCTTCATTGCTTCATTTATATTTTATGGGAAACCGCACCTATCTACAGAGGCTGTAGGTATTGTGGTGTGTATTGAGAAAGAAGACATTATTTTCTTTTGAAGAAACTCTGGGTACTAGCTCTTACATATTTTTTTGGTTATGGTTTTGTTGACTTAAAAGGGGGATGTCATACACTAATTATTAGACATTTCACCTTCAGTGAAAGACTGAAGTGATTTGTTAAAACCTCATAGGCCCTCTCAGCTGGAGGAGCTGGACTTGTTATGAAGTGACTTAATAAACACCTCTGCTGATTGTGATTGCCATTTATATAAAGACCCTTAATTCTGGAGCCTTTTGCCTGTAATAACTTGTGTTAGAGGGCTGTGATTAATATATTGTAAATATACTTGGCTCCTCAGAGAGCTGAAATGAGGAAAAAGGAAAAAAGATGGAAGGAAATGATCATGTGTATAATATAAAATTGGAGGTTCTCCTGAGGGTCTTGTGAGCAAAAATATGTGAGAAAAGAAACTGTCCCTAGAATTTATTGAATGTATTGTACAAAGTCAGTATTTAAAAACAAAGCATTTTCTTACTTGGTATTTCACCCTGTTATCTCTGGTGTAAAGAAGGAAATTTGTGTTCACAGCATCTGGAGAGCTGGGCAAGCCTGCCAGTTGTCTCCCCGGGATCCCAGCCCATGGGGGGCTGTCTGAAAAGCATCCAAGCCTTTCGTAGCAAACTTCCCTTCCTGGGGTGCACAAAGAAAAAGACATTAGTGTTCTGGGAATGTCACAGGTTGTGTACACGAAGCTGGCAGGAGAGGGTTTACACCAGGATAGCCAAACAAGCCTGATTTGGGTTAGGATGGCACTTCTGGGCATTTTTCATTATTTTCAGATGAGCTCGGGTGCTTGTAGTGAGGACTTGAACTTCTGGAGAGATTCCTGCTGCAAACAGAGCCTGGAGCTCAGCCTGGTGAACTCAGGATGTGTTTGGTCAAACATATTGTTAACACAGCCCTTGGAAAAAGACAATAAAGTCTTGATCCAGGGAAGAAACCAGCTTTTGCTTTCAGCACAGAGTAGTCCTTTAAATCAGTCCTAAACTCCAGGGACTATCAAAATTGTTATTTCTTGTGCAACAGTTCATGAAGGAGCAAAAAGAAACCAAAACATTAAAATATCTACTTCTGGCTGCTCCACAAGAGACATTAAACATCTCCCTTTTTTTAATTTTTAAGATTAAGACCATAAGATTTTAGTGGAAGCAATAAAATGGAATTTGAGTGGATGCTTAGAGCAAAGCACAGCCTCAGGAAGTGTGGTCTGTGCCTGAAGGACCAGTTTCACAATTTCTCTTGTGCCTTTAATACAGTAATGGTGCAAATATGACATGCAGGTGTTGCCATTAATTGTCATCCTTCCACAGTGTTGTAGTACAACAGTTGTGAAATCCCATTTTTATTGTTATAAAAATTCTATTCTTTCCTGTCATTAAAGAGGTATTTTGGACCAAGACTGTTTTTTTGTTCTCTGCATAGCACTGTGAAGAGTGGGTGCCTAGGCTCTCACTACCAGGGCTGTGCTACCATGAGTGAGTTGAGGGGGAAAATGCTCTGGAAGAATTTCAGTATCGATTTGCATATAAAAATACCTTTCTGATTCCCATTCTCTTTGCTAGCTGCAAAAACCTTTACAGAATTAAAAAGCAGTGAGTTAAATGTGGGAAAGACATGACATGACTCAGTGGTCATAATGAAGAATTATGTTAAATCCATTCCAATGAACAGTTTTTTTCTAGAATATAGATATCCTGACATAACCTGCACATCATTTTTACTCTTTATAGGTTTTATTCATTATATGCCTCACCTCTGGCTGCATTGAGAAGAAAAAGAGTAGTGATCCATACTGCAAGCATCTGAAGTGAAAAAGAACACAATTCAAACATAATTGAAATTAGAATCTGAGATTCACCTAAGGGTTCCCTTAACCCATTAAAACCCCTTGAAACTCAGGACTTCAGTAATTTACTGAGTTGCATAAAAAAAAAGAATGCAACTCTTCCTCAAAAATAGTAAGGTTTCAAGAAAATAACTTTGGGGTTATTTCTGTTTGCCATGGAGATTTTGCATTTTGCTATCCTTTAGGAATCCTTAAAGATCATTTTCCTATCCTTGACAAACAGAAACTTTTTTTCTCTGTAGAGCTGCAGTTTATGGGCATGCAAATTAAATTCTTACAGGATTTGCAACAACATATTACAGACTGAAGTTTGGACGAAGATTTTGTAGAAAAGTTACTCTGAACTTCCATCAATGATTGCATTTAAAAACACCCCAAGAACAAACTTAATTTGCTGTTGAGTTTGTTAAGCTTATTAATCATACAGATGGTATTGAAAACTTATTTTGATCACTGCTATCAGCCATGCACACTTATCAGCCCTCACCTGCCTGATCAGTCAATCACCAGCTGATAGGTCAGCATAGGGGTAAATGGAATCCATCATTTACTCCAAGGTGAAGCAGGGAAAGTCTTTTAAATACAGTCTCGCTACTACCACGAGCAACTTATCTTGAAAGAAAAATAGATAATTCTTTAAAAATCGAATGTCATGCCCAGATCATCCAACCAGTGCTGCACAGGCAGAGCCCTGCATCCCCTCCCTGACCAGTCTTCCCAGTCCCCTGAAGCCCACAATACACTGCTAGAAGTAAAGAATTCATCCCTGTGAAACCAGGTGCAGGTTCAAGCACATCCTGCTTCCACCTCCTCTCCTCCAGCCACTCACCAGATACCCAGCCCCTCATCATCATGATCCTTATTTCAGTTCCTTGGATGTTCTTGGCTCCAGTGCATCCCATTTTACCTTGGCAAGGCTCAGAGCAAGTTCTCAGGGTCAGCCTCTCAGTTGCTCGTGGCAAACCTTGCAGAAGCTCTTTGAGGAGCCTGGAGAGAAGCAGGACAGCTCTGTGCCTGCCCTCCAAGGGCACGTGGCAGAGGGATGCTCACCCTCTGCCTGCTCCACAATGCTTGGATTCCCAGCTGTGCCTGTGTTGGGTAATGCCAAGGGAGATCTCCTTCTGTCACCTTCATCCGAGATAAGAGCAACCAGGTCCAACCAGTTGTTACCTGACTCCACCCACTTAGTGCAAAGTTCCAAACAGGCTGTTATTGCCCTCCATTGTTTTTTGGGCTTTTTTTTCCCAAGCTAAAACTTGCTGAGAAGTGTGATGTAAGCACTGAACAAAGACAGGGCTTTTCAGGATCAGTGGTGCTCATCTCGGTGTGATGCTGAGTTGAGATTGTCACTCAATGTCACACCAATGGCAGTGGCAGAGCCCCGTCCTTGGCATTCCACTCCACAGTTTTAGCAGCAAAGCTGTCCTACCTGGAACTGATCCCTGTCTTAAATAACTTACAGTCTTAGGCAAAATTTTCAAATTTGTGTTTGATATCCAAGTCTACTGCTGCAACATGATGACACAAACAAGGTGTTTTGGGGTGAGCTTGCATATGTTTGCAAGGTTCAAACTGTCACTTGAGAAAATTCAAAAAGAAGTATGAAAAATGATTTAAAAAATGAAATGGCTTCGTTTGTCACTTGTTATTTGTTCATCTCGTAGCTCTCTTATCTCTAATTTTGCTACTGGATGAATTACCTGACTTTTCTTTGAAAAGGTGATAGAAATTCTTTTAAAGAGAGGAGAATAGTTCCTGGGGCAGATTGTCAACACATTCAATCACCATGAATCTTTATAATTAAATTGTATTAATTGCAGTAATTTTATTTTTTAGTGTTTTGATAATGATGTCATTTCACATAGTACTATATTGTTGTTATACTATTATGTTCAAGTTTCTGATCAGACTTTCCTGGAAATCTTTGTTCCTGTAGGTGCATGTGGGGCTTCTCCAACCTAAATGATTCTATAATTCTGTGTAGACACAAATTAGAAACCTGCACTGCCACATTTTAATGTTAAACCCTTTAATATAGGGGTGACTATTTACACCTCCTAAGACAAGGATGTGCAGGAAGGGGAGACTCCCTTTTGGTTTAATCCTTTCCACTGACTGATGAGTTATTCCATATCTTGCACACACAAATATGAACTGGGTTAAGGTGATTCTTATAAATGCTAGGTGCAAAAGCATTTTCAAGGTTTTCCTTTTTTTTTTTTTTTTTTTTTTTTAATGAGGCTAGCCTTGAAAGGTTGATTTTTTTTCAGCTGTATATTGTGGAAGCAAATATATATTCCAACTCTGAGTCCCTAATAGAAAATTAAGAATCAAGGTTAGTATGGAGTTCAGGGTGTTCCTATTCATCTCTTCAAGACTAAGTTAGTCCAGTAAAGTGTTGAATTAGTCACATTAAAATTGAGTTATCTTCTGTTCACAAAATTAAAGTCTGTATTTGGGTTGCAAATTGATCAGTTAACCAGTTACTCACAGAATTGAAGTAAATAAAAATGAAGAAATGTTTAAAAGATGCACACACAAAAAAATCTGCTTCCAAGTTTCCCTAGGACATCCCAGACAAAACTAGGTTCAGTGATGGTTAATAGAACTCAGAACTGTGATGTGTGGTGTACTCAGATCTCTGATAAAGCATCACATTTGAAAGTACTTAATGCTGGTTTTTTTCACATCATTAAGAATTCATAGACAAAGAAAGGCTGATTCATTAGAATTTAAGGGCCCTACAGAAAATTAGTATCTAATCTTCCCTTCTGATTTAATTCTATTATCTATAATATTGGACCAAACCCTCATTTCATTCTATCCTCACCATTTCTTCACACTTCAGAAGGAAAGTTTGCTGCACAAACAGGTTCTTCAAACTTTTAAACTAATCTAGTTGATTCAATAAATTATTATTGAATAATTTTAACTCATACATTTAACTTACGCAGTGTATTTTGGTGCCTATCTTCTCAGGGAAATGTGAATAACTCAATATATTAAGAAGATTTTCTCAAACCTGGTATTATAGTCTCAAACCATACCTGAACCCTCTGCTGCAATATGGACTCAACTGCAATCTGATGGTGCAGATTTCAGATCACTTACAGGATTCAGTGGCTTTGCCAAGTTAAAATTAAAACAACAAAATATTAAACGGTTTTTGATTTTACCTCAGATGAGGATATTGCTGTCTCACATCCTAGGTGTAAATGTGTGCTATGCAATTTTTACAGAACTATTCCAGCCAATATTGAGCATGAAGTTTAAGTTACCCAGGCTTTTCTCAGAGCACATGAAGTGATTATTTAGTGTTGTTCTTGCTGCCTTTCAGCAGCCAGTGAGACATCACAGCTCTCCTCCGGTGTTTAAGACAAGGTTACTGGGAGAGCAAGGTATTCTCATATTTGGAACAAATTTGTCAGAGGATTTACTCCAGCTGACAGGCATGAAATGGTTTTTCTATGCTAGTTTGCTAATACCAGGAAAGCTCATAGCTCAGCAGCATTGTCAGACGTCAGCACTTCTGTGTTGGCTTCTAGAAATCTTTGCACTTTAATGGGGTTAACTGCTGCAGTATTATCTGGGACCTGGGTAGGAAGCAGTGAGCAACAAAATGCTGACTCTCCATCCCTTGGAAGTGCCTGAGAATTTCTCATCCATGAGCTTGTCCAAGTTGTCCCTGAACTGATGTCCAGCTCTAGAACACCCAGCATCCTGTACCAAGCACTTTGTAACGTGCAACTGTGGGGAGAATCATCTCCTTTCCTTTCTCTTCTGGTGTGCAGTGCCAGCTTCATTTCATGCCCCCTGTTACTAGGGTGGAAGGAAATGAACAAGGAATTTCATGTTTGCCTTCTCCATAATCCTCTTCTATGGATGACATTCATACCTTCATCTCTGTTCTTGGCTGACTTCTGTTTTTCTCCTATATGCCAACACGGGAAGATGATTGCTTATTCCATGGGGCTGGACAAGGTGGACATATATTATTTTGCTCTCCATTACCAAAACCAGCAAAGAAAATTCATTTTGTCCTGAAGTTTTATCAATAAATGTGTTTTTGTGAGGCATGAAGTGGCCAAATGTGGAAGAAGGCGCTTTCTGCAGCTAAAACACAGTTTTGTGTATTCTCTCCTAAAATCTCTTTTCTTTTGTAACATCTGTAATCATCTTACAGGATAAGGTACAGTGCATAGAAGATCCTACAATTAAAAAATGGCCTAATGGAGATAATTCAGGAAGTTATTGTCCAGGGCTTGCCTTTTTTTTTTTTTTTTCCCTCCCTCTTAATTGTAATTATACTGCTGTCAAGTCTTGATCCTGAGAAATTTTCTAGGCAGGGACCTGCCTATCTGTGCACATTTGATGATGTATGAATAATGTGTGAATATTATAGATAGTAACAGTAATGTAAAGGTCACCTTTTCCAACATATCATTTTAACAGATATGAATAAAAAAAAATCTTAAATATCACAAGTATTTTTCTATTCATTCCAATCTGCTTGGCTGCTAAAAAAATATGAAGGGATTGTTATTCTTTATATCTGCTGTGCCTTTATTATGATCCAGCTTTCTAATACTTTTATTGATGCCAATCCCAATGGGATGACTCAGAGAATAAAATACTTCTTAGCTAAAGAAAGAGTACCAAATGTTAAGTTCCATTTACTTTGTATTTTAATACCATCTAAACTAACAGTTGTTGCATGACTTGTTTGTAACTTTCATGTAAGCCAAATTCTTTTTCTGATTTACACAGGGTAAGATCTGAAGTTTGTATCTTAATAAAGAAAATGTATTTATTCTTGCAGTTATGCCTTAGTTTTCATCAAAGAGAATTCCAAGTGAATTAGCTGATAATAATTTTCTGTGATAAAACACTCTGGTGCTCAGTGCATATTCTGAGGATAATATTGAATTAAAAAGTACGAAATGGGGACCTAAGGAACATGATATAAACAGAAAATTTTAAATCTCCCACAGCAAGGTATTTTAAGGCCTATGGCTACTAAGTGCATTGATCTAATTTTTTGGGATGTAAATTAGTAAATTACAGTGCAAAAGATGAAAATAAGAAATTATACTAAATTATGCAAGCCATTAGTCACTATTAAATGGAAACACATAACAAAAATCCCAGATGGTTCCATAACACACCTTTGATGTGATATGGGGCCTGGTGTTTGTGGGTTTAATTGTTTAATTTAGCAGATGCTGGTTCTGTTCCACCACATTCCCTCTAATTTCAATCTAACACAGGAAGTTTCCATCAGGGCACTGTTATGTCTGTGCCACTGTAAATATGTTCTTAACTACTTGTGGTGTGGCAACACCTGTAATGCTTTCATAAAATTCTGTGTTCTTTTGTGGTATCCTCTCCACTTGTGACCACAGGTTTGTCTTTGTGCCTCATTCGTGTCTGGCGAGGAGGTTTCAGTCTGGAGCTGTGGTTTAGAGATTTCTTCCTCAGAGGAACTCCTGGAAATGCTGACAGAAGGAGAAGCAGCACATGGATGGTTTCTAAAATCTTCTTGGTGCCTCTCACTGGCTTCGCCACTCCCAGAATAAAAGGATGGCTGGCACAGAGAATATTCTTTTCTTATATTTTTATTAAATTTTCTGAGAGCAACAAGGCTGACTGTAAACAGAGGGCGTCTTTATTTTGCTTTTGAGTACTCTTGTTTCTTCAGGCAACTTGGGATTTTAGTATACTTTGAGAGTACAATCAGAATTCTAAGAATTTGTTGGCCACTACTGGAATTAAATCCAGTAGGTTGGTTTTAATGAAGCACTACCTTCACCCTCTGCTATTTTTGGAAGGTCTTGCAAAATTTCTTTGAGAGAGGCCAAGTAATACAGGGTAGACTGATGACTTATAGCATCTTTCTGTAAAT